AACATGAGATACGATTCTTCTTGATTCCCAATTCCTCAAGAAGTGATTCAACCCAAATGATCTCAGCAGTTGCATTAGCCAAAGACTTGTATTCAGCTTCTGTACTTGAGCGTGACACAGTAGCTTGCTTTCTAGCACTCCAGGAGATAAGATTAGATCCAAAGAACACTGCAAAACCTCCAGTTGATCTTCTGTCATCACTACATCCTGCCCAGTCAGCATCAGAGAATGCACTCACAAGAGAAGAATTAGACCGTTTGAAATGAAGTCCTATTCCCATAGTATGTTTCACATATCTCACAATCCTCTTGACAGCTGACCAATGTGCAGAAGTAGGTGCATGAAGATATTGACAAACCTTGTTGACAGCAAATGAGATATCTGGACGTGTGAGAGTTAAATATTGTAGTGCTCCCACAGTACTCCTATACCTTGTACTCTCCTCCTCTTGAAGTGGCTCACCCTCATATGCTGAGAGACTTTCTGAGGAGGATAAAGGTGTAGACATTGGCTTGCAATTTTTCATCCCCATGCGAGACAGAAGCTCAAGAATGTATTTTTCTTGATTTAACACAATACCATCTTGAGTTTTCTTGACTTCAATACCCAAGAAGAAATGCAAATCACCTAGGTCCTTCAAGTCAAACTCTGAGCTCAAATCATGCAAAAGAGCATTAGTAGCATTTTGTGAAGAACTTGCAACTATGATATCATCAACATATATAAGCAAAAAAATGACTACTCCTGCCTTGTTATAAATAAACAAGGATGTGTCAGCCTTGGAAGCAACAAAGCCAAGATATTTTAACTGTGAGCTCAATCTGGAATACCATGCTCTGGGTGCTTGCTTTAGACCATAGAGTGCTTTATCAAGCTTGCAGACATACTGTGGCAATTTCTTATTCTCATACCCAGGTGGTTGTCTCATAAACACTTCCTCTTCCAGAACACCGTGCAGAAACGCATTCTGTACATCTAGCTGTCTTAAACTCCATCCTTTGGATACATCAATGGCTAACACAAGTCTGATAGTTGCAGCTTTCACAACGGGACTAAAGGTGTCCTCATAGTCAATGCCATAACGTTGCTTAAAGCCCTTTGCAACTAGACGTGCCTTATATCTGTCAATGGAGCCATCTGCCTTCTTCTTAATTCTATACACCCATTTGCAATCAATAATATTTTTACCTCTCTGATTTGGTACAAGATGCCAAGTCTTATTCCTCATGAGCGCAGAATACTCCTCATCCATTGCCTTTTTCCATTTAGGATCATCAAGTGCATTCTTCAACGATGTTGGTTCTCCTGAAATACACAACATTCCATATGGTATAGTTCCATCTTTCCTAATTTTAGGATTCCGTATACCTTTCTGTAGCCGGGTCATAACACGTGAAGAAACCTCTCGCTGCACCGCTGGTATACTTACCACAGAAGATCCAGGAGAATCTGCTGATGCAGTGGACTGATTTGTCGTCATATGCGCAGGGGATCTTGTGGCTTCTGGTGTGGCTGCCCCTCCTGCAGGCACTGGCGCAGAGGATCCGCCACCCGACCGCGACTGGAGGCGCGCGTGGTGCGGAGAGGATCTGGTCCCGCCGCTGGTCCCGTCTGACGCTGGCGCGCGGGGCGAGGGGGATTCGGCCCCGCTGCTGGTCCCGCCTGAAGCTGACGCGGCAGCACGGGAGTGGCCCGCCCTGGATCCAGGACTGGAGCCATCAGGGGCTTGATCCGAGGCGGATGCGGTCGCGTGATCCGAGATCTGCGCGCGTGCAGGGGTGGCAGGCGCCGCCAGATCTTCTTCGTCATCTGTGCCAGCTTCGTCTCCTTCCTCAGCATGAAATATAGGATCAAAACCAGCCATATTTTCGAGATCTTGGTCATTTTGAGCACCGTTTTCTCCAGGGACCTGCACAGGCATAAGAGAAAGACTAGTACCAGCAGGAATATCATCACATTGGTTAGTACAATTGTTGTCGCCCCCATGATCAAAAGACCAAAGATGTGAAGGAAGAAGAAGAATTTCTTTGCGGAGAAGTGCACCAGCATTAGGATCAAGGGATGCAAAGGGAAACACGGACTCATCAAATACAACATCTCTGGATATATACACCCGACCAGTAGGAACATCAAGGCACTTAACCCCTTTATGCATGGGGCTATAGCCTAAAAAGACACACCGTTTTGAGCGGAAAGCGAGTTTGCGTGTGTTGTAAGGCCTAAGATTGGGCCAACAGGCACAACCAAAAATACGAAGAGATGTATAGTTGGGTGTGACACCAAGAAGTCGTGTAATGGGTGTTTCAAATTTGATAACTTTACTTGCAAGCAAGTTGATGAGATATGTAGCAGTTAAGAATGCTTCATCCCAAAATTTAAGCGGCATGGAAGCATTTGCTAACAAGGCAAGCCCCATATCAACTATGTGACGGTGCTTTCTTTCAGCGGATCCATTTTATTGGTGAGCATGAGGACAAGATACATGGTGTGATATGCCAAGCTTTTGAAAGAAAGAATTTAGTTTTTCATACTCACCACCCCAGTCACTTTGCATAGCAATGATTTTAGAGTTCAGTTTGCGTTCAACAAGATTTTGGAAATTGAGGAAAACTTGGAATACATCAGATCGCTTTTTCAACAGATAAATCCAAGTAAATTTACTATAGTCATCAATAAAACTTACATAATAGGAAAATCTACCAACTGAAATAGGAGCTGGCCCCCATACATCTGAAAAGATAAGTTGTAAAGGGGCAGTAGACACACTAGTAGAAATTGGGTAAGGTAATTGATGACTTTTTGCTTGCTGACACGGATCACAAACTAACTCACTACTAGGCTCATAAGAGAGTTTATTTTTGCTAAGAACATATCTAACTATGACTGAAGATGGATGACCTAAACGACTATGCCACCTTGATGTAGATAGCTTGGTGACAATATTTGCTTGTTTATTGGACCATGAAGATGATGATGATGATGATGATATGAGTGGGTAGAGTCCTCCCACGAACCGTCCTCTAAGAATGACTCTCCTTGTTTTCAAGTCCTTAACCAAGAAAAAATAAGGATAGAACTCAATAAGAACATTGTTATCAAGAGTGAATCGATGAACGGAAACAAGATTTTTAGAGGTTTGAGGAACATGCAAGACATTGGTCAAGTGTAAATTTTTCACGGGGGTTTTAACAATTGAACTGCCAATGTGTGTGATATCCATACCAGAACCGCTTGCCGTGCGAATTTGGTCGCCTCCATTGTACTTCTCCCGCTTCGTCAACTTGTCAAGTTCACCTGTGATGTGGTTTGTTGCTGCACTGTCGGCGTACCAGTTGGTGTCCACGCCATAGGAGGCTGCATGCGCTTGCTTTTCTTCCTGGTCGTTTTCTTCATAACGCCACCAGCAAACTCGTGCACCTCCTGGATGGTGTCTGTAGCATATCTGACATTCTGGATAGTCATGCTGTTGCTCACGAGCCTGCTGTTGCTGTTGCTGTCGAGGACGGCCTCTGAATCCGCCGCCTCCATTGGAGGAAGACGACTGTCGGTCACCACGATCACCACGGCCGCGGCCTCTTCCTCCACGCCCGCGAGATCTGCCACGGGACTGGCCACGGCCTCTGTAGACCGCATTAGCAGATGAATAGAACCCGCCTGAAGATGAGTCGCCTAGCATCTCCATCCTTTGATCAAAGGCAGCAATCTGGGCAAAAAGATCGTCGGCTGTGATGATGTTTTTGACAGCGCCGATCGCCGCTACCACGGGGTCGTAGTCGCGGTCCAGTCCGGCCAGAATATAGTCCACCATCTCCGGATCAGATACGGGACGACCTGCAGCAGCTAGTTCATCCCCAAGACTTTTCATCTTCGCCATATACGCCGAGCTTGACATCGAGCCCTTCTTGGTATTGGTGATGGCGATTCTCAGATTAGTAATCCGAGACTGAGATTGTGAGGCGAAGAGATTTGTCACCGTCGTCCAGAGCTCAAAGGTGGAATCTTTCCCAACAACTTGTGCAAGAATTTCTGGAGACATGGAATTGAGAAGGTATGATAGAACCTGCTGATCTTTGGCGATCCAGGGTCCGTATAGGGGATTCGGCTCTAGGGCCGTGGTCTTGTCTGCCTTCGTGATCTCCACCATCTTGGGTGGAGCGGCATCGGTGTTGTCCAGGAGCCCGGTCACCTGCGCGCCTCGCAGGGCTGGGAGGACCTGCGTCTTCCAGAGGATGAAATTACCTCTTGCGAGCTTCTCAGACGGCGGCGATCCAAGGTTGAGGAAGACGCCGGCGAAGGAAGCCATGGAGACGATGATGTGTGGTTTCTAGGGTTTTGGATTGTGGCTAGATGTATGAGAAGAGGTGGCTCTGATTACCATGAAAGATATGAAGCGTTCCTACTCCATCGAGGGAGCCGCGTGGTAGTTTATATTGATGCGTGGCCGAAGCCTGGCTTGACGTACAAGATTATGACAGAAAGAGTTTGGGTAAAATACAAAAGAAGGAAGGAGGTTGAGATTACAACTCTATATTCTAACACGCCGCACCTGGGCAATCTGTCCGGCCTCGCGGAGCTGGACCTCGGTGGAAACCAGCTTGTCGGTGACATACCACCGGAGCTTGGCCGTCTCGGCCGTCTCCGCTCCCTCAACCTGAGCGCCAACTTGCTCACCGGAGCCATCCCCGCGGCCATTGCGGCGGGGTGCACCAACCTCACCTCGCTCATCCTGGGCAGGAACAGCCTCCGAGGTACGATCCCCGCCCAGATCGGCACCACCTTGAGAAAGCTCACCCTGCTGGACCTTTGCCGAAACAACCTCACGGGGCACATCCCTCCGTCACTGGCGGAGCTGCGCTCCATGCAGGTTCTGTCTCTGTGCTTCAAACCTGTCCGGCGAGATCCCAGCCGCGCTGGGAAACCTCACCAGCATCCAGGAGCTAGGCCTCCATCACAATGGCCTGTCCGGAGCAATCCCGTCGTCTCTCGGGCTGCCGGGCGGCATGTCGTTTTTCAACCTCGAGTTCAACCAGTTAACCGGGGCGATCCCTACCTCCATTTGGAACCTCTCGTCTCTCGTTCTGTTCTCCGTCATGTATAACAGGCTAAGCGGCAGGATGCCTCCCGACGCATTCGCCGCCATGCCCCATCTCCACCAGATCCAAATCAACAACAACCAGTTCCATGGCCCTTTCCCGGTGTCCATAGCAAATGCTTCCAACATTTCTCTAGTTCAGCTCGACAGCAACCTTTTCGCCGGCATCATTCCCCGTGATATCGGCAGGTTAAGAAATCTCAGCATTCTACTTCTCGGCAACAATCTGTTTGAAGCTCATGAGCCAAGAGATTGGGGATTCATAACCGAATTAACTAATTGCTCCCAGTTAGGACTGCTGGGATTGGATGGTAATAAGTTTGGAGGTGTTCTTCCAGATTCACTCTCCAACCTTTCCACGTCACTGTATGATCTTCAACTCGGGTCCAACAAGATCACAGGAAACATTCCAGAGGGTATTAGTAACCTCATCAACTTACAAAAGCTCGACATGTCGCACAACTTCTTCACGGGAAGTCTCCCCTCTTCATTGGGAAGGCTTCCAAAATTGGCCAGTTTCTATGTCATTGCAAATAAGTTGGCCGGGCCGGTCCCGTCGGCCATAGGAAATCTTACTGAACTATCTGATTTGCGGCTCGACATGAACGCGTTCAGTGGTAGAATACCAAGCGCACTTGGAAACCTGGCAAAGCTCTCCTCACTAGGTCTTTCAGCAAATAGTTTCATTGGTCCCATACCCAGCACATTATTCAGCATCCAAACACTCTCGATGGTACTTGATGTGTCACACAATAATATAGAGGGATCCATACCACAAGAAATCGGGAACCTGCAAAATTTAGCAGAATTGCATCTAGAGTCAAACAAATTATCTGGTGAAATCCCCACCACCGTTGGAGAGTGTCGATTTCTAAAAAGTCTTTATCTGCAAAACAACTCCCTGAATGGTAGCATCCCATCAACCCTGAATCAACTGAAGGATCTTGAAACTCTTGACCTGTCAAGCAACAACTTGTCAGGCCAGATACCCAAGTTCCTTGGCAACATCAGCATGCTCCAGTATCTGAACCTTTCCCTTAACCGGTTTGTCGGAGAAGTGCCGACCTTTGGTGTCTTCGCAAATGCTACTTCAATCTCAATCGAAGGCAACGTTGAACTTTGTGGTGGAATACCTACTCTGCATTTGCTTCCCTGTTCTTCTCAAATAGCACACAGGAAACACAAACTTTTAGCGGTTCCTATTGTTCTATCTCTCATTGCAACACTAGTCGTGCTTGTAACACTGTACAAGCTTAGCATGCGGCACAAGAAAAATAGAAGACAAACCCTTTCACCTACATCCATGAAAAGCCATCCAAAGCTATCTTATTCACAGCTGGTAAATGCAACAGATGGGTTTTCAGCAGCCAACTTTTTGGGTTCTGGATCGTTTGGGATTGTGTACAAGGGAGAGCTATATGACCAAGTAGGCAATAGAACAATTGTCGCTGTGAAGGTACTGAAACTTCAAACTCCCAAGGCACTCAAGAGTTTCGCCGCCGAATGTGAAGCACTTAGAAACATCCGGCACAGAAATATTGTCAAGATAGTCACGATCTGCTCAACCTTTGATACTAGAGGGCATGGTTTCAAAGCAATTGTTTATGAATTCATGTCCAATGGTAGCCTAGCTGGGTGGCTACATCCCGAGCAAACAGAGCCGAAGCAACTGAACCTGTGTGTTAGAGTGACCATACTACTTGATGTGGCTTGTGCGCTGGATTATCTTAGCTATCAAGGAGGCTTCTTTGTACATTGTGATGTTAAGCCAAGTAATGTGCTCCTAGATGCTGAGATGGTAGCCCACGTTGGAGATTTTGGACTTGCAAGCCAATGCTGGGAATTTTCTGTCGAGGAGAACTCATCTCTCGAACTGTCAAAGAGCTCGATGGGACTTACAGGAGCAATAAACTCATCTTTCCAACAGTCAACGAGCACGATGGGATTTAGGGGAACAATTGGTTATGCTGCACCAGGTTAGCCCAATAATTTTATATTTTCTACTCCCTCCGTCCCAAAATATAAGAACGTTTTTGACACGTGTCAAAAACGTTCTTATATTTTGGGACGGATGGTAGTGTAAAAAATGTTCTTATATTTTGGGACGGAGAGAGTATCTATTTACAAGCATTGCTTTTTCTTCATTGCTCCTTAGTCCTTCATAAAGCATGTTGCTGCAAAACGTATGATATGCAGATGGAATAATTTCTGTGCCTTCTGTGATTTTCTATATGGTTTTGTTATGATATCAGTAATTACCTTAAATTAATATATGTGCACTTGGTAACCTTTCTCTTGAGAATGCACTTTGTAATTAATATATAAGAACGTTTTTTACACGTGTCAGAAACGTTTTTATATTTTGGGACGGAGGGTAGTGTCACAAACGTTCTTATATTTTGGGACGGAGAGAGTATCTATTTACAAGCATTGCTTTTTCTTCATTGCTCCTTAGTCCTTCATAAAGCATGTTGCTGCAAAACGTATGATATGCAGATGGAATAATTTCTGTGCCTTCTGTGATTTTCTATATGGTTTTGTTATGATATCAATAATTACCTTAAATTAATATATGTGCCCTTGGTAACCTTTTTCTTAGAGAATGCACTTTGTAATTAATATGTCTAATTATCATCCACGTTCAATTAATGCAACAGAATATGGGGCTGGAAACAAGGTGTCAACAAACGGAGACATTTACAGTTACGGGATTCTTGTTCTAGAAACTGTAACTGGGAAGAGGCCCACAGACATCATATTCAGACAAAGACTGAGGCTCCGTGAATACGTTGAGCAAGCTCTGGGTCATAGCATGATGGATGTTATCGACAAGCGGCTCCAAGATGAGCTCCAGACCGCGGATGATATTTCAAGGAAGAAAAAGATGGATTGTCTGACATCGCTGCTCGAACTGGGAATGTGGTGCTCTGACGAAACACCGACGCGCAGAATGCTAACTGGAGATATCGTCAGGCAATTGGAGGCCATCAAAGAATCCCTTTCTTAGGCAACACAACTTGTGATCGCTACGGCAGGCAAATCATAACGGTTTTCTTGTCTTCGGAGATGCAACATAACCTGTGCTAAATTTGAAGTGCTGGTATTAATAGCATGTAATCTTGTTTCAAAAATAATAATTTAATAGCATGTAAGCTGTACTGCTGTGTTAGTGAGTGCTCATTTTGGGTAATCTAGGGAGGTAATTATGCTCCATTAGCACCTTTTCTGAGAAAACTGTTTGGTGCTAGTATGACATTCCATCTGAACTCTTACGACTTGTGTCGGAGTTGCATCAAAGCTGCAGAAATTAAAAGACAGGGTATGCTACAAGTCGCATGTTAAGAGCAAATCTCACACAGGAAGTAGCAACTACAAGCACGCTATAGACCCTAGCTAGCAACGGGCAATGCTGTAAGAGATTCCCTTATATTTTGCCATCTTGGTATGCTGAATGAATGGCCCAGCAGCAAAAAACAACTATGCATCAGCAGAGCATAATAAAGTGTAAATCATCATCTTATCTTACTTAAAGACAAAGAAACAATGATAGTTTTTGCTTGACTGCCAAGAAAAACTTCTTACTTAAAGACAAAGAAACAATGATAGTTTTTGCTTGACTGCCAAGAAAAACTTCTTACTTAAAGACAAAGAAACAATGATAGTTTTTGCTTGACTGCCAAGAAAAACTTCTTACTTAAAGACAAAGAAACAATGATAGTTTTTGCTTGACTGCCAAGAAAAACTTGCACCAGCCGGGAATCGAACCCGGGTCTGTACCGTGGCAGGGTACTATTCTACCACTAGACCACTGGTGCTTCACACTGTACTTTTCTTCAATAACGTACTAATCCGTAAACAGTTGAACCCGTGCATTCGGAGTTTCGCAATGGCGAGCCTATGATTTTAATGTTTAGTTCAATCTCCTAGCTTTATTGATTAATAATAATGATTGGAATACAATTCGGATCATACGGTTGGCTGAATCAAGTTTGTCTACCTTGAACTAATGAAGCTGCAAATCCTTCCCCGCAAAAATAAAAATAAAAAATGAAGCTGCAAATCTAGCCTTTTTGTTTTTTAGGGTTAGCTGCAAATCTAGCATTTTTGTTTTTTAGGCTAGGTTCGGCGAGCCTCCGAAGTCTGCTGGCAAGCCAGAGCAAACATGGGACGAAGCTATCGAGGGATGGAGACCGGATGCATGCGTCCTGCCACCGTACCTGCATTTAAAAATTGTTCAATGTGTATATAAAATGTTCGTGATATATATGAAAAATGTACACTGTATTTGAAAAAACTAGACATCAAAAACATATATTTGAAAAATAACCATGTACTCCCTCCGTCCGAAAAAACTTGTCCCAACCTTGTCTCTCAAATGGATGTATCTAGCATCAAATTAGTGCTAGATACATCCATTTGAAGGAGAAGCTTTTTCGGACGGAGGGAGTATTTGAAAAATGTTATCCGTGTATAAAAATAATGTTTCAAATGTGTACATAAAATGTACAGTGTGTGTGTGAAAAATAGGCATATAGAAAACATATGTATGACAAAATATTAATCATGTATTGAAAAATGTTAAGCATGTGTAATAAAGTTTTCCTTGTGCATGCAAAATGTCTAGTGTATATAAAAAAAGTAGACATCAAAATCATTTAACAAAAATATTGATCATGTGTTTAAAAAATGTTCAGCATGTACACAAAATATGTTTCAGATGTATATGAAAAATGTTTCATGTATTTAAAAAATGTAAAACGCATATAAAAAGTGTTCCTGATGTATACGAAAAATATAAAAATGTTTATTTCCATTAAAATAATGTTCACCCTGTATTTATAACAATGTTGCCTATGTATTCAAAAAAGTCTTTGAAAGATGTATTTAAGAAAAAAAATATACATCGCGTATTCAAAAAATATTCAACATGTATCAACAAATTGTTTCACATGTAAATTAAAAATATACATTGTGTGCCGAAAAAATGTAGACACGTGTTGAACAAATAAGTACCGATGAAAACAGACAAAAAAATAAGAGAAAAGAAGAAAACCAAGAAAGAAACAAATTACTCCAAGAAAGGAAAAAGGAAACCAAAGAAACCCAATGGAAAAGAAAGGAAACAATGAAAACCGAGAAACAAAAAGAAAAACAAAAGAGCAATAAAAAACCTAAGAAAAAAGTAAATGAAAAAAAAAATGAAAACTTAGAAAAGAAACAAAGGAACCGAAGAAAATTATAGAAAAAAGAAAGGGAAAAACCAGTAAAAACCGAGAAAGAACAAAACAGATTAAAAAAACAAAAGAAAACAAAAGGCTGAAGAAAATCATGTAGAAATAAAGAAAATCTAAATAAAAACAAAATAAAATTATCCGAAGAGAACCAAAACCTAAAACGCCCGAATGAACCATAGCAACCAAGTGAGCCACAATGACCGAACACACGATACCGATCTGGCCCATTAGCGCGGACGCTGTTGCGGGGATAACATCTTGCTATAAGCGAGATATAGTTCCCGTGTGATGGATGTGTCTATCCATCACAACACTCATGGCAAGTATAAATGGAAATGAGAAAAACAATACTAAAGTTACCTCTTCTCAAAACACACACACACACACACACACACACACACACACACACACACACACAGAGAGAGAGAGAGAGAGAGATGAGTTGTACAATAAGAAGTGAGCAAATATGATTGATCGCGACCAAGAGCGTTGCACCGTGCAAGAGAGACACTACCTTCATTGCTTTAGTGGGCGAGATACAAACTTGTGCACTAAGCACCAACCTACAAGAACAACTAGCCGACTAGTCGTTTTAGTTTCCCAAGTATGCTATGACAAGTATGTATGACACCAAAATGATATATAATCCAAGATGATGAATGTTAAATGCTCATAAGCTCTCAGTGTATTTTTCTTTTGCCTAAAAGATGTTCTATTTCTTCTTTATATGCTTATTTTTTCACTATGCTTGATGCTTGAGCCAAAATACAAGACAAGAATATAAGATATGCACAGGAGTAGCTTATGACACACAAAATGATACCAAGATATATGCACACAATGAGCTATGCGATGATAGTGTATCACTACACTGCACAAGTAATGTAATTGGTAGGGATGAGCGTTGGGTAGAAGACTGTGCCGCTCCCACTAGTGGTCTCACGGATCACGCACTCATGGACGACGACCTCGCGTGCCGCCTCACCGGACCCAGCTACACCCGTGGCTCCATGGTTGCGTCTCCGTGCGCACCTCCGACAATTTGGAGCCTGATTGCCCCTTATCGTCTACTGCCCGCTGCTCGTCACCAGCAGGCTCCTTGTTGTTGGGCATGGACCCTCATTGCCCATGGCTCTGATGTCAATTGTCAGCAGACGGCTGGCCTAGCTCATGATAAATCAATGTCCGCTGATGAATTCAAGGACACGGTGATTTGCGCACAGCCCACAAAACATGTTGCTTTTCTATTTTATCTTGACTCCTTTTACTCTGCTCGATGCAACAAACTGGCACGACTAGCTCACCACGACCTCGCTCTATCGAACGTGCCATCTCACGTCCACGAGGCAAGGCGTGCCGGGCAGGGCCTTGACTCAATCCACGATGCACACGACACGCATAGATTGCGGCTCATGCTCCTTATTTCACGTGCAAAAGGAAAAAAGACGGGTGAAACCGGAGCGCGGCGATGGAGCGGACGAGCACGCCTGCTCCCGCTAAGTGTACCAATGGAAGAAGGACATGTTGGGCTAAGCTTTGAATGCGAGCGTAGACGCAGGTGCAGTATACGTACCGTGGAACAGTGCTATACGTCCAGGGTGCCGTTTCATCTGACGATGCCGTCACGGCACACCGTCCCGCATGTTCCCACGGTTCTGGACGGCAGACTCACATGCACAGCTGAGTTCGTTTGGTGCACGACAGCCGTGACGTGGGAGGAACATACACCGGTTATGCACTTGTGCTTAAAAGCTTGCGTTTAAAAACTTGTGCTTAAAAGAAGCTAGCAACACATTTTCTCTGAAAAATAGAAAAGGCTGGGAGCACACTATGTAAAAAAGAGTGAGTGAACCAAATGCCCCGTTACTATTTTTCATTGGTGTATTTTTTTTAAAAAAAAATTGGTTTTCTTTAATCTTTTTGTGTTAAAAAATGTTCATGCACGTCAAAAAATGGCCATGGATGTAAAAAATATTCCTGTTTATTAAAATGTTTCGTGTATATTAAAATTTGGCCATATTTCGTTTAAAAATGTGCATCATGTTTTCACAAAATTTCATCATTCAAATAAAAAAGATCAGGCATAAAAAATACTCATAGTGTATTTAAAAAGTATTCATCATGTAATTAGAAATGTCATTATGTGTTAACACTTTTTATACTTACATGAACATTTTTCTAAATTTTAACATTTTTTAAAGAAGTGTTCATCACACATTAGACAAACTTTCTGCGTGTCTTTAGAAATGTTCATCGCGTAGTTTCAAAAAAAAATTACCGTTCATTGAAAAGTGCTCATTTTAATGAAAAAATGTTCTTCTTGTCCTCACAAATCATAATATCCATCGTGTACTTTTTTAGAGACCGTGTGTTCAAAAAATATTGATCGTGCATTTCAACAAAAAATGTTGGTTGTGTATTAAAAATGTACGTCTCACATATTAAAAATTGATCACCGTGTTATAAAAAGTGCTCGTGTATGTATAATAAAATGTATGTAGTTTTTCACATGGAACCTATTTGTTGGGATCACAGTACCGACTTTCAGGATACACTATGTATTCAACATTTAAATCCAAGCAAGGGGTTGTAAAGCAAATCGGATCCGATAGAAACTCAAGTCCTGGACCAAACATACAGTATCACACCCTGCCGTCACAGCAATGTCTCACTCCGTCAGACCGATCATACATGCCCAATAGAGTACGCGGCCGAACGTGATGGATGAGCGGGCGGCGGCACTTCAATGCCAATGCAGTGAAAGAGAAGTCTA